TCAGCATACTGTATATACACAGGAACTGCACAATTTATATTTGTAATGTATCAGATCAATGTGGTGGTGTTTCGAGATTTCTAGAAAGTTGTAAAGACTTGGGTTAAGGCTGTGTAGCAGATGCATGCATGTGATGCCAGGAATTTATAATCATTTCTTTGCCTGGGTCTACATGAGGAAATCATCTCACCTGTTGTTCCATCACGACCCGAGCAATAGCAGCCTGAACCACGTTGGTCCTGTCAAGACAATCCATGCAGTTGACTCGGAAGATTCCCTCCTGCTTACAGATGACTCCTGCTTGGTCCACCCTGACAGAGAAAGATACATTCAGAAACAGTACATTCATGGGGTTAAGATTTTCAGTCCAATAATAAAGTATAGAAACACATGCTGTAGCCCACTAGGGTTTATTCTTGTTTTCTGTTTTACAGTCATCTGCTCTCTGAAAAAAAATAGACCATGCACCGACATGACACTTACCAGGCCCACTTCATGTCAGTGATGATGTCAGATATTGCATCAGTCAATATTTGCACGTTCTCAAACTTCATACCTCGGCTGAGAAACAGGATGTAAGAAGCATAAAAGGGAAGCAAATGTATTGTGGCATAAAATAAATTTCTGCAAGGCCATTTATGAACATATTTCACTGCTGAGGCAAGCAATTCTTTTACCAGTGCTCATGGAAGTCAAATGAAACATATGTGAGGTTTGGGTTGTTGTACAGGAGCACTTGCTTCAGATATGCGTCACCAATTATTTTCTCTCGTCCGCTTTGATCCACTAAGTTAATGATGACCTAGAGTAGGAAAAAAGATTGCTATTATTTATTTAGTCTTGTGGATAATACATCTCTGGCACACAGTAGTTCACATGTTAGTCAGAACATTCAAATTATAAGCAGCCACTAGTGGCAGAAAGACCACAATGGTAAACAACTTAAAAAAACTATCTTAAAGGAAGCCTGATGCATGCAAGTACTTATAGATAAATAGATATGCTAAGCAGATACCCAAGCATACACATGGGCAATATGACTCACCTGCTTCTTATAGAGTTTAAGCTGTTCTTCAAAGTGAGCAGCAAAGAAAGATATTGTCTCCTTCTCTCCTGAAACACCAGAAAAATCAGCATATAACCAAATCTGGCTAAAGACATCAAGAGATCCAGTTTGCAAGTTTATACATGATGAACTTTGGAGACGGAAATGTTGTTTCTTATGGGAAACATTTTAATTCACCTGGAGATACACCAAGCTCCCCACATCTCCACATATAAACTATAATGTCTCTACATCCCAGTCAAATAAAGTTTTACAGACAAATAGAGTAAGGACCAACAACTGACAAGATATTTAGTTGACATGTGAGACATAACTCAAAAACACCAGACAACTGAGTAAAACCCAAAGAGAAAACGTGTGTTGAAAGAAGCTCAATTTTTAAGGTACAACTTAAAAAAAAAAAGAAAAACTGTGAGAGCCACTGTAATCAAACAAGGCCTTTGAGAAACCCTCTCTGTAGGACGGTATTCCAGATAACGTAGTTCTACTGACCTTTCTCTAAGCGTGGCCGAGGATTGTAGCGATATCCTGCCTGGCTCCAGAAGACAGGCACAGAGCCACGAGTCTGCACAAAGGACAGACTGTGGCTGTGCACGTGGATCAACTGCTCTGTCTCCACATAATTAGCCACGTGGCCATCTGTATCCACTCCTCTGCGTTTGTACCGCATCCCTTTGGGAAAGAAGAATACATCAACCCTAATTATATCACAGATCATGCTTTACTTGAAGAAAATAATACAACATTGTCTGCAAACATGTTAAAGGCTTTTTATGAGAAACAAAAACTGTTTAGATGTTGCAGAAAAATTGACTCCTAATTACACAACATAACCAGCACATGTTGGCTGGATCCCAGTTTCAGCATGACCTTCTTCTATGCTGACTGTAGCCGGTTGCTCTACCTGCACGGTGGCGGCTCCGTCTAGAGATCAGGGCTACAGTGAAGCGAGGATGGATGTCGTCAACACAGGTGACCTCCTGTGGTGGGGTCTCAGGGCTGCTCCTCTCCTCATCATAAGTCTCACTGTAGTTCACCACCAGTTCCTCTACCTGTACAAACCCCTGGATGACTGGTATCACCCAGAAGTCAGCCTCAGGGACCTGAAGCATTCCAAAAGTAGAAAAACAACAGGACAAGATTAAATTGCTGTTTGCCAGGCTGAAAAGGAAGCACTCTGCAATAATTCACTAAGCATTTTCATACTTTTCTGATAAACCTCTAGTATCAGTGCATACGACGGCCACACACAGACAGCAGGGGCAGCTGCATCCTTTGAGCTGACAGTTATAAAGAAAACGCTATGACCGGGACAATGGTTGTCAAAGAATCAAATCTGAGGAACAAATATTCAAAAGAAAAACAACAACATGCTGTACCACTCTCTATTTCCATGTGGAAAAATCAGTTACCTGAAGGTCAATAAGGTCTTGGATCATGTGTCTATTCCAGAAGAAACGGTCATCCACCTTTCATAAAGATCAAAAACTACAGTCAGATGCAAAGCATTTTTGCAATATACCAATGCCTAACTTTATGTTACTGTTTCTCTCCAAACCTGTTTCCATAGGGGTAAGCTGGACTTCTCCAGGTCTCCTTGACGCTGCACACTGTTTGTCAGGTCGTAGGTCAGGCTGTAGTAGAAGGAGTCTGAGTCCATGAATATTTTGTACAGCTCATCCAGCAGCCGCCTCTCCAACCGTTCCTTCTCTTTGTTTTCCTTGACCTGGAAAGCAGGGGAATAATGAATTGGGCAGGTGGATGGAAAAGGGGTAAGTTGACAAAGCAATGAAAGCAAAATCCTATGAGAACCTCAAATCCTTTAAAAGTGTGAAAGACAGGAAAGGTAGTGTGTGGTTCTAAAAATAACAAAACAAATTTTTATGAAGTGATTTGATTTTTGATTTGATTTGATTTATTCTTTCAAGCATGTAAAGACAGTTGATATGTCAACACACATAATTTTACACATATCCAACAAATGCTAATCCAATATCAATTTGCTTATACCTAGTATATGCTTGAATGGAGTAGGAAGAAGTCAGACTTATCCAGAAGTGTACAATGCAAAAAATACCTTTTTCTTGTTAGGGACCGCCACGTTAGATTTGATCTGACTTAAAGTTTTAATCAAAAACTTGGACTCATCGGGGGACTGGGCCAGTTTCTCTGGTTTGTCGATTCCAAAGTGATGCTTCTTGCAAAGCTGGAAAACAGGATCTTCTGTCAATTCTGGACAAATATTATTAAAAATGATCATTTTGGTGATGCTGTTATAACTGAGTTTGGTACAACCACAAAGTTCTGAAACCAAACAGTCTTATAGCAAAGTCAGTGAGATTCAAATTGGGATACTAGCACACCAATAAAAAAAAAAAAAAAAGTTTGATACTACCCACTACATCATTCTGCTAGTCTAAGCCAATAAACAACCCCATAGCTACACTGATCTACTGGGTATTCTGGGCACAAAATGATCACTTTGCACTATAAGGCCAGTGTATAACAGTTCAGGATCTAAAAGCCTATCTAAGAACATCTCCCCTGTACTTACTCACTTGAAAATATTCTGTCTCACTGTCCAGAAAGTTCCCCTGAAAGACTGAAACCTTAGCACCAGTCAACTTCCTTTGAGATTCATTACACTGATTCTATGTCTGCATTTAATTTTCAACGTGTGGGTAAAAATAAAACACACACACACACACACACACACCACAAAACTCATTTGCACCACTGCCAACCCAGCTTCAGGATGAATCATACACTGACACATACAAGGTATTTTAGGGTACATAAAGCATATGATTGTCAATGTGGCTGAATATCATAATTAAAACACAATTTGATGAATACTTCTTCTGCTGCCTCATTTACAATATTAGTATGCACACCTCCAGCTCAAGCTCTTGAGGCTCTTCATCAGACAAAGGAATGACTGCTATCTTGGTGATCTTGTAGACTTTGTGATTGCCTGGTAAATGACCCACCAGTGCCTTCTGGCGGATTAATATGAGGCCGAGAGGAAGATCTGCCAAGAGGAGAAAGGACAAGGGGGAGTTACATCATGGGTGCAGAATTCCTCACATTCTCAAAGGTGTGAAGAAGGCAGCTGCACACCAGCCATTAAGTACAGATTTTTTTAAATAAGCAACACAAGACATCTGGTAAATAAATAATTAAATCATGTTGGTGTATCTGATTTTCTGGAATGACATCATGATTCATATATTTTCTTGTGATTTTCTTGTGACTCATCACCATCAGCTCACTCCTCTTCATAACGACACACATTTCTAAGTACTTTTACACTTTTTTTTTTGCACCTTTGCTTTTGAGTAAGAAAAAAACTAAGTATCTGGATGATTTGGTAACTCTGTGTGCCCAGTGCACACAGACAGAAAATACTGGCAAGAATGTGTCTGTTCAAAGTGTTTTCATTCTCTACTTACCTGTGTGAAGCTGTATTTTTCCTATGACACCTTCCACCAAACCCAAACACACTGGATTCCAAGCTAACAACAGGTCTGTTGCTGAAATAAAAACATATGGAAGTGAAACAGCAGAACAGTGGTGTAACAAAACAGCTCAGATGAGTGACAAATGAAAGAAAAACCTAACATAAAGTGTCTTAGAACAGCTTCAGTGCACCTTGGCATTGAGTCTCAGGACTTCTGGAGGGATGTGGTGTTTCAATGATGGTGGTGGAGATGCTCTCTAACACAACATTCCAAAATCTCCCCTAGATGCTCAACTGGGTTGAGATGAGTCACATTATTTTTATATTCATCAAACCGCTGAGTGACCCCTTGTGCACTATGGATGGGGGCCACTGTCATCCTGGAAGAGACTTCTCATTTATTCAAGAATTTCCTTTAATTTGTCACCCATCTGTATAAGGTTTATGCCAGATAAACAGCCAGAGGACTGTCACTCTGCTTGTTGAGCACACACATTATCTCGTTGCAGAATTGAACATGTGCACCAAAGACTAAAGAACCTCAGAACAATAATGGTAGGTAATTTCCTGTTTATGCACTACACTGTGCTTTTGATAACCAGAAAACTACTCTTAACTTCAAAGACATCTAGAAGTCACAGCTGAGATAAAGGCACTAACAATATAGATGGGAGATTGTGACTAAATCTGTATCACTCTGATAGGTCTGGCATTGTTCATGCACATTTACATGAAAGGTACATCTTACCGAAGGAAGTGAAAGCCAGTTTAACTGACAACAAAACAAGCCAGTCTTGTTTTATTTACATTCTGAATCACTAAGCCAAGTCAGTATAGGAATGCACAGTCTCAGTGACTAACAGAAAAACAGGAATGCTTAGCACCGGTGACGGATTAAACATCACAGTGAAGAAAATTGGACAATGTGAAGGGTGTGGCTAAGAGCGGAGAACATCAACCGCAGGCAGCCTCAGACAATAACTCTTCCTGTTCCACCATCCAGAGTATACATAACCAGCTGACCCCCACCAGGAAGGTCCCAGCAGACAAAACAAAACAAAAACAATACCACACCTACACTCAGAATGTGTAATATCACGGAAATACTTCACTGCGTGTTTGAAAGAGGAGTAGAAAGCCAGTGAGGAGTGGAAACCCTTTTTCCAATTAAATAATGAAACAGTAGTGCAACTAAAAACCTGTTTGGGATGGGTGAACAGCCATGCAACTTCAATTGACACACACGCACAGCCTTTTGGTGACTCCAACAAAGTGCTTCTTTTAGTGTAGCAGTTCTTTCCCTTTAGCTGGGAATATGTATTTCCCACAGATTACAGTATTTCTTTTACAAGGAAAACATAGCCAAGTCTTGGTCACAGCTATGCTGCAATACTCCTGCAATCTGACCAAGGTGTGATAAGAGGGGCTGGCTTATAAACCTCACTAACACACCATGCTGGTTTGAACTTCTGTTTAATGTCCTTTGTGTTCTTTGACATCAAAATGTTATTACAGCTTTGTAATAACACACCCTTTTAGAAACAGTACATTTGTTAAGCTGTCATAGAAAGTAGAGTACGTCAGGCTGCGATTCTGACAGTCACCGTTTAACATTCTTAAACTGCCTGTATCAGGTAAGGAAGGATGTCCTAATGTACCCTTCAGTGTGTAACATAAGAAGCAAAGCAAGAAGTTTAGAGATTGTCTGGGGTGTTGGCGCTCTCGGAATGAAAGCCAGGACGATGACATCAAGTCTTAGCAGTGGCACATCCAACCATTTCTAACTCCTCTTTACCAAAACGCTTGTTTTGTTTAACGACGCTGTCTAATTTAGTTGGATGGAGTGATGGCAATAACGTTAATTACAAACATGAACTAGTGATTGTTACAAGTGAGAGATTAGCCTGAGGTGGTTTCGATACATGGTGGGAAAATCCTTAGTAAAATAATGTTTTACTAAGACGCCAGGCGGGCCAAAAAATGTATCGGGTTTACATCATTCTAACTGGTAAACACATCCAAATGTTAGTTTCAGGTAAATGGCCGGCTGCAGCAGAGAAAGGTGACATCCTTTATCGTACATACCAGGTTTGACAGTCATGGTACCATCTTTCCGACTGCACCACAGAGCACGGTCCCCGTTCTGTAGAATGTAATCGTCTTTGGCTTGGAATAGCTCCATTTCGTCCCTTTATGTTACACAAAAATAAGCGACTAACTGGCTTAGTAGCCAGGTACAGGTAATTATCAACTTCCACGTCTTGGAGGTTACCTGCAGCTAGCCAGACAACAACTGGCTAGCCACGGATAGCTATTCTCCCACTGGCTGGTGAGCTAAGGCAGCTAGCTACCTAGCAGGCTAGCGGCTGCAGCTGGATGCGTGTCGAAATTGTTTATTCCACATCTACGCATATTGACAGTCAAATTCCCTTTCTACTGGGGAAACACCGTTTCCCACAGTCATACTTGTCAGAGTAAAGGAAAATACACATTAGTGACTCAGAAAGTGTCACAGGTAGCTTCTTCACGACGTAAGCGACCGTTTCCTTCTCCAAACAATAACACGTGACCTGTGACTGAGCCTTCGTCGCCAGCGTGCAGGTACAATACACAAAACAGGATATCACAATTTATTACACGATTACAGTAATTATTTACTACATTATGGCTTATTTCGAAGAAAACGTATCCTAAATAATCACAATTTGGCAGAATAAAATGTATGGTTTTACTTTACTGGCTTTAAGCAGTAATTTTATTTATTTTTTAATGTGATATTCTAATTCAGTGATAGCAAAACATCACAGCTAAAGCTGCTCTTGTGAAGCAGCCAGACGGATATCATACATGAGTGTTTTAAAATGGAGTATAAGGAACTCATCAAACAAAGGTAACCAAATCCCTATTCTGGGTTTATAGGTCAGGGTAATTTTGTATAAAAAGAACAAACCACATAATTTACACAGATTGTGTTTCCCTACCTGCGTCCATTGAAAGACTGAAACCTTAGAAGGTACAAAAATATTCGCAGTTATGACTCAGTGATGTTCTGACGGACAAGGCTGGGAGCAGCTGCACACAGAGACCAAATGGTCATCACACCATCGAAAACTTTAGTATAAAACTAAGCCACAGTCAAGACCGCTGGGGGCCAACAGAGAGTCACACATCAAAATATGAATTACTTTAGCAGGTCGTAAACATTGTGGACATTCACTTTGGTATATGTAAACAAGAATGTGCTACCAACTGCATTAAAAGCTGAATAAACAAATAGTCAATCAATTTATTTGGTTGATTGATAGAAAATTAATTAAATACTATTCTGACGTCATTTTTCAAGCTAAAAAAACTATACTCTCATTTCAGCCGTTTTGAAATTCATTGGTTTGCTGTTTTCTTGCCTCATATGATCATAAAATGAATTATCTGTAGGTGTTTCAGACCAAGCAAGAAATCTGATGACCACACTTTGGGAAATGGTTAAGAAGAGCTTCACCCTATTTTCTGACATTTTGATAAACAAAATAATCATCATATTAATAAATAATGAAAATAAATGTCAGTTGCAGCCCTACAAGTAATACAAATCTACTATTAGTATCCTAGAAACTTTTAAAAATTCATTCTCAGACTTAGCAGAAATTTGTGGGAACTCAAATACTAGTCATTTACTGTGGTCAATGTCAAATACGTTTTATTTTCAACCATACCAGCTTGATTCACTTGCTTTCAACAATGCAAAAGCCTGCTATTCATAAACTGTGGTGAACACTATAAACCACAATCCATAATTTGTAAAGGTGTGCTAAGCAGTGACCCTACCTTACAGATGGCTTATGATTGTATTACAGTGTCACATCCCTACAGAAAAAACATCAAGTAATCATCAAAGTTATTTTAAATCTTTTTAAATGACTGATGTTTTTTTCTACTTTATCCACATAATTTGGGTATCTTCTCACAGTTGGTATTTTAAGGGCTTTATGCCATTTCTGTGTTAGTGTTATTACAGATTGTGGCTTTGGTAGCTATACAACAACATTCTGACTTACACAATCTGATTTTAAACTGTAGCACAGAGTGCTGATTGTCTCACATCTCAAATAAGTTAGACCATCTCAGCTCCATTTGTTGTTACACGTTCATAAAGGTACCAAAATACTATAGAATTATATAAATACTGATATAGTGTTTTAAAATAACAATGTACTTACAAACACTCAAACACATCAATCAAAACCTGTGTAACTGATACATTTCGAATGTAGTGCTTGCGTTCAGCAAGAAACATTTCAATGATGGCAATGTGCAAAGACGTCAAAATCAGTAATGTACCAAAAAGCAGCATCTAATAAACATATTCACTGTTGTGTGTGACAAAAGCAGCTCCAACATGGCCATGTGGCAATAAAGGGGAAAATGCTTTCCTGTTGACTGAGTCTTGCAGTGAATTCTGCTTTAAAGCTCCAATGTTTGCACTCATGTACTAACTGATGTACTGGCTGGATTAAGAAAAGCTTCATACAATATTTGATTGAGACAAAAGGCAACTACACACAACATTTCTTAAGAAAATACTTTTACTTTTCCTCATTTATAGATAAAGGCCTCTTATTCAAACTTTAAATTGACTAGAAACTGTCAGTCATGACAGCTGTCTTAATATGAAGACATTGGCACAACACAGAAGGCAACAACATTGGCTTGAAAAATGTGATTGCACTGAGCTACCATCAATTATGTGCTGAATGGCAGGAAATACCAACACTGTTAATCAATGCATGCAACTTTCACAAATGCTGTAGGCAGAGGAGGCAGAGAGCTCGCTAGAGCAGACTTGTTCACTATCAAATATACAGCAGCTTATCCTTGTCTCCTCTTGACTATGAGGTGTGCAGTCATCATAAGATCTCCTTTGCCATCTCAATATTCTCCTTGGTGATCATGCTGGGCTCTCCTTTTTGTGTCAGGTCATCTAACTCCATCGCTGTGTCACTAGCAGGCTTGGCTGACTGCTCTTCCAGTTGCTCCAGTTGCTCCAGTATGGTCTGGACACGACGGACTCCATCCCGTCTTGCCTGCCTAACGTCTGCTCGACCCTCTGGGTCAACCGAGTCCAGTGCTAAGAGCTCTTTGGTCAGCAGTTCCTCCAGTAACAGGTATTTCTTATCATTCTTCTTTCCACCAAAACATTTCACCTCCTGCTCTAGTTTAGCTACCCGTTCAACTATCTGCTGTACTTTAGCCAAGCCTGGGTGGACCGGGCCTTGAGCACACGGTTCAGCCTCTACCTTTACAGGTGGGACCTCTGGGAGAGTAGCTGTCATGTCCTGGCCTTCTGGCTTTGGAGGTAATTGAACTGTGATATCTGCAGTATGTTGTTGTGGTTGCTCTGGTTTCTGGGACTGGTGGAACTGTTTCTGAGACTGCATTATCTGTTCAGGCTGCTGAAGCTGTGGAGATGTCTGAGGTGGTGCCTGCTGGAACTGCTGAGGTTGCTGAGGTGGGGGCTGGGGGAAGTGTTGAGGTTGTTGAGGCTTTGGGACATCAGCTTCTGTGTGCAGTGGCTGGGGGAGCTGCATGTTCTCTGATTTTTGCTGGGTGCTTTGTTGTTCCTGCTCCGTTCTCTGGGGTGGGTCTCTTGTGGGGACATGTTGCTGAACCTTAGAAGTTAAAAAGAGGTCATTAGGATCCAGCTCAACACATACTGACATGAAACTCAAACATTTGTGAACATCAAGAAAAACTACACTAAAGTAAAATAACCTGTGGTCTTTCTCCCAGCACCTGTGACTGGCTTCTAATATGAGGCGGGAGGTGAATAGAAGTAGCATCACGATGCTGAGGAATCAGTATGGGAGAAGCCCTTTCTCTGGAAGGCTGCATTGCTGCAGGGTAGCCAGGCCATTCATCTGTCTGAATGCGATGGAAGGGCTGCTGCTGCTGCTCTGAGTAGGGGATGCGCTGAGAGTAGACAGAGGGATTTAACTGAGCCTGTGTTTGTGTTTGGCCTCCTCCACCCTCATGGATCACAGGGATAGGGATGTAACCTGCTTGAAGACCAGTACTGCTTGGCCGTGGGAGTTGGTGATGTGGCACAGTATAAACCTTAAGAATAAAAAATCTAAGTGAAATAATGCAACAATCGAACGTGAACATTTCTGCACACAAATTATACAGTATTTAGTGGCATACATAGGCATTTTTTCCTTCTTCAAAACTACTCAAGTCCTACCCCTGATGTTTGAGAAAGGGGTGAGCCAACCTTTCCAGGCTCAGTGGAGCAGCTATCTGAAGGGCTGTGTAAAGGGGATCTAGGCCTGCAGTGGAGCCCTGGCACTGGAGAAGGTGTCTGCCCGTCTGTCCGGATATTCTGTGCAGTGGATGGCTGTATGTAGGAATAACATGGATGCTGTTGCTGCCTCAGTTCTGCGCCCTCATGGAAGACCGGGATAGGGACATACCCTGGACGAAGAATGGGGTGCTTCATCTCCCTCACAAAGGTCTTCTGTGGTTCCTGAGGGCTTGGGTCTGGTGGTATGTTGGGTCCATTTGCTGAAACTTCTCTGACCTAAAACATTAAATCACAACTAATTACTGTACATATTTACAATGACTATTAGGAATCTTGTCATGTATTTATACTACAACATCCAGCAAAGGAAGTCAACTAAATGAAACTACTCTATATACTTCACAGACCTTTTAATTAACTGGATTTAAGGCAACATTGATGTTGTTTCCTTTACGTGCATTAAAGGTATTCAAATATTTAACCACAATAATAGTTTAGGCATTAACACTACAAACCTGGTTGACATTATTATCCATAAATCTTGGGCAACTGTTAATACTGTATATTTTGCCATGGATGGGCTTATTTTGGAAAAAAAAAAAAAGTCATTTCAAAATTTGTAAAAACGAACAAAATGCATGATTTGCATAGTGCATTTCCAGTCAGACAGCTGCAGTGTTTGATATTTTACTACACAATCAGACTGTAACAATCACCTGCCTACATTTTTTGATATTAAGAGGCAACAGTTAGAGGTCGAGGTTAGGATAAGGATAATCACCTTTATTGGCCAAGTATGTTACACACAAGGAATTTGTTTCCGGTACAGAACTGATGGCAGCCATCTGCGGCGCCAACTCAACCGATGGCTCTAACCACCGGGGGGGTTCAGTGTCTTGCCCACGTAGACTGGAGGCACTGAGATTCAAACCTTCAACCTTCTGGTTGGGAAACGACTGCTCTACCCACCACACCACTGTTGCCTCCCCTTTAGTTAGTTAGTTTAGAGGTACACTCTCAAACCTAACATGTTATTAACTAACCATCCTTATGCCATATGAAGTGGGAGAGAGAACCCTTTTTGCTTCACCTATTGACAAATTCCATGATGAAGAGCCAATAGCCTATTTCAATATTTTTACATACACTTCTCATGAATTACAAGGAATAATGGAATTTCACCCTTGTGTCGGTATTTTCTTGATCTTGCCTATTCTGGTCTAAAAGAACATAAATAATCCCATAATATATTTGTTTGAA